TAAAACTATACATAGAGTACTAAAAAAAAACTAAAAAAAAAAAAAAAAAAAAAAAAAAAAAAAAAAAAATTAACTGTACGGAATCGGCGATTCACTGTTCGGACTCGCCGATTCCGTACAGTGAATCGGCGATTCACTGTACAGAATCGTCCGGTTCTCTCTAGAACCGGACGATTTCCGATTTTTGGGCGATCCGGTTCCTTTTTCACTATTTCCGAGTCGAACCGGGCGAGTCCGGTTCGACTCGGCGTTTTTTAAAACGCTGGTTGGTACCATCTTTGCTGCTCCGTTTTCTATGCTTATTCATTTAAGGAAAATGATTTATGGTTTGATAGGGGTGCAGCCCTATCAAAATAAGTAAAGCCTCATCTCATAATTCATCAAAAATTGTAACTCAAGTACTGAAAATCTTTTAAATCGCTCATCTCTGCTCGAATATTATGGTTGAGAAAAAAATTAGGATTTCAAGTTCTAAAAATAGTATGTTGCAACAAATAATCTAGGCCATCCATTTCAGCATAAAAATAATGCTCATAGATTCGCAAGATCTTTATGCTTTGGATATTGAAGATCCACAAGATCTGTACAATTTTTTGAAGTTTAAAATTTTATTGTCCATATTGGAAATTTATTTTAGAGTGCTATCATAAAGATTCCCGATGCCCAAAGTGCTTTCCGGATGAGGATTTGAGGTGAGGTTTTATTTTGTTTTCATAAAGCTTAGGCCTATAGAAACTTCATCCTTCATTAATTCTTTTTAAATAATTTATTACAATGTTTCTTGGATCAAAACCCGAATAGACAGGGCATATCTTCCCCCTACAAATTACAGTCGTCTTCATATGTGCCATTTCAAATTGTTCATACAACAATAAATTGCATATTGGAATTCTTATAAATCATTGACCCCACCAAACTTTTCACCATTAGATCTCCTTACAACCATTTGCCTTGGGAAACTACCTTCCTTATTATATGTGCATAATTTATTGATTTATAAGTTTTCAAATCATTTTAGTATTGTGCTAAACTGCTACTTGCTACATTTAAGAAAATATAAAAAGGCCTCTAAGATCCAATGGACTCATCGATAACGAAAGAAGGGTATTTTGGGTAGTTAAAATTATTTAAAATACCTTTCTAAAATGATCAGTAAGGTGCATGATTTAAATAAGAGAAAATTACATACATCTCCATTATAATTTACATTATTATAGTTACATCAAATAGTTTCCGTTATTATTCATCTGTCCGCTTTTATCTTCCATAACGTCTTTTTTAAAAAAAAACCACTTTGCCCTTTTTCGGATGTTGAACATCCGAATTTTTGTAATTTTCGGTTGTTCAACATCCAAAAATAGCCACAGCTCCAACAATGATTTTTCTCATTTTCGGATGTTTAACATCCGAAATTTTTCGTGCCAACATTTCCCACGTTCAGGCATAAACTTATTTATTTTTATTTTTATAAAGTTAGGAAAAACGATCATTAAAGCATCATACCCCTTTTACTATCCCTTAATACAGTAACCCACAAAGTTGAAGAGATTGACTCACTATTTGGATGTAATTGGTACCATTTTTACTCTTTCTTTTTACGGTTGATTAATTAAAGTTTATTATCTGTTATTTTTTAGAATATTTTATTTTGTTAATAATATTTGTTGTGTATTTTTTATTAATAAAAGGAATTTGTTTAATATTGATGAAGTTATTTGTTTTATATAATTATTTGTTGTTTGTATCATGTTGATACATTGTATTCCTCTTTTTGGCTAAATAATTTTTAAACTTATTTGTTTGTATCAAAATTTGTTGTTTGTTTTGTGTTTATGTGAGTATTTGTTGTTTTCTTTTGTTTAATGTTTATTACTCACAATTTTAGTAGTACATTATCTCAATATATTATCTAATACTCAGATTTTATGAACCCTAAAGTAGTTAGAAATATCCCAATTTTTAGTAATTTTTTGTATGGATTTTTTGTACCACAAAATTGCTATTCATTTAATACAGTAGTATTGACGATGGTTACTAAGGGAGTGCAACTGGTATTTCAATATGGGGGATCATTTGAGATGAATGCAAATGACGGATGTGTTAATTTAGGAGGAAAATTGAAGGCCACCAAGTATAAATGGGAATAGTTCATTGGAGGAACTAAAAAGTCATTTTGCTAATTTAACCAAGTGTGATCCAAACAAATTAGCTATTATGTACCACAACACAAGTCTATCTAGTGGGCGTAATTTGATTGATGTTAGTGATGATATAAATGTATCTTTTATATTGGGAGGAAAATCTTCAATAAGTGTAGTATATATTGCCGAGCCACAACAAGAATCTGTTGCTAAGGGCCCGTCTTCAAGGAATAAGAATATCTACAATTTATTTTTTCATCTGTAAATTATTTTATTTAAATCTTATATGTGCAGAAATTGTTGCTTCATCTTACACTCTATCTTTTGTCAACAGTTGGCGTAACGTTTTACCTGAGCAAAATCAAAACATTGAAGTGGCGCCCAACCCTGAGCTTGTACCAGAGCGTGATATGGAGGATATTGAACCACTAGAGAGTCTATGTAGACGAGTTAGTAACAAGGTTCAATTGAATGTTGGGCATTGAAAATGTTAATTTTTTGTATCGAGAAAGAGAAAGATGATTTCAATATTAGAAATCTTTGTGATAGTCTTAAAATAAATTTTCA